CCACAGACTCGAACCTGGTCCCTTTGACCGCAGACTTGATTTTAGGGAAGAGAAAAAAGTCGCACGGTGCTAGGTCCGGAGAATACGGTGGATGTTCCATCACTGGAATGTTGTTTTTTGCCAAATACCTCTTCACAGATAGCACATTGTCGTGATGAAGAACCCATGAGGCATTCTTCCACATGTCTGTTCTCCTTCGTCACACACGTTCATGGAGGGTCGCCAAAACATTTTTATAATAAACCTATTTGACAGTCCGACCTTCATGCACCCAATCAATGTAGAATACCCCCCGGATATTGAAAAAAACAATCATCATTGCTTTGAATTTGGACTTGCTCATGCGCACTTTCTTCTTCCTAGGGGATTTGGGGCTCTTCCAATGCATGGATTGTCGCTTAGTCTCTGGATCATATTGAAGAATACAAGTTTCGTCACATGTAATTATGTTTTGGAAGAAATCAGGATCATTTTCAATGTTTTCGAGAGTGTCAACACAGCAATTCACCCAATGTTCCTTTAGCTGGGGGGTAAGGATTTTTGGCACCACTTTAGCACACACCTTTTTCATGCCCAGATCGTCGTGCAAAATCTGTCTAACACTTTCCTTATTGATGTTCGTAAGTTCAGAAATTGCTCGAATGCTCAGTCGACGATCTCTTCGAACAATTCTAGCGACCTTCTCCACATTCTCTGGAGTTTTCGCAGTGGGAGGACGGCCCGATTTTGGATCGTTCCCGACGTTTTTCCTACCCTCCATAAACTTCTTAAACCACTCGAAAACTTGCGTGCGAGATAGACACTGATCACCATATACTTCTGTCAACAAATTGTAAGTTTCAGTGGCAGATTTTCCAAGTTTTGTGAGGAATTTGATGTTAGCACGTTGTTCTGCATTAGCACTCAGCATTATTCCGACGGAGCTCAGACACACGATCCGCTTCTAACAATGGTCGCGGCCAGACTAACCGATGCGCGTGAATGAAACTTTGTGTGACGGTAGAGGGAAGTCCATGGGTCAATGCCCTACCCTCCTCTTCGTCATCGACGTGGCCGGAAATGAGTCATAAAAGTAATCCCGTTTCTTTATTGCCGCACCTTGTACTGCAAACAACAGACAACATGCATTTTAACCTGAATCCTCTACATCTTTATAGTAATCAAAATGTGTAACAGGTAGGCATTAAAGCCAAACAATGATGTCAAATATTAAATATGCAGTCTTTAATGTTCTCAAACCTATTTATTAATTTTAAATTCACATCTTCATAAAGCTCTTCAAGCAATATGTATACCCATCTTGTTATAATGCTGCCCACACTCTTATGGATTAACAAAGTTAACTTTCATTACAAAATACGTTATCAAATAGTTCTATAATATGGGTTTTCTGCCTAGAATAAGTACTCCAGGGTATCCAGATGTTCATCCCTTTCCATTTTTCTGCACATCAGCAACCTACAACTAAAATTCTTTTGATGCCAGTATTCTAATAATGTACTTTTCAAGTCCCATAGGTTTGTAAAAAAGACAGTATTTTCATTTTACTGTAATAAATTAGTTAATACATTATAACTTGAGGCATACCTTACTGAAGCAAGAGCTTTCTATTATACGAAGGGCGTTCCGTATATAATGCCTCCTATTTTTTGTGTTAATATGCAACGTCTGAGCTGGATGTTGGTGGTGTTGTAGTAAAGACTGAACGTCCCGCCAATGTACTGTTAGTTTGGTTGTCGTGCGACAGATAGCGACAGCACAGCAGTCTACCAAAATGGTGTCTGACATAGAGGTGTGTACAAAACAGAGATGTGTTATTGAATTTCTCAATGCTGAATAAATTGCACCCACTGAGATCCATCGACGCTTGCTAAAGGTGTACGGAGATGATAGAGTGGATGTCAGTACAGTGAGGCGGTGGGTAGTGTTTTTCAACAGTGGCGAAAGTGAAGTGCACG